TGGCAGCCAGGTGAGAGCCTGGGGACAGGGACCAGAGCCCTGGGGACAGGGGACAGGGGACAGAGCCCTGGGGACAGGGGACAGAGCCTGGGGACAGCAGAGCCTGCCCAGGCAGGGGACAGGGGCTGCTGGCACCTCCCTGCAGCTCTTGCTCCGATTCTTCATGGAATTGCATCTCCCTTTCCATCTCAGGGCCCCTGGATTTGGGGAATGCTCTGTTTCAGTTACGATGAGAAGGGCAACACATTGCACTGGACTCCTGCCCGGCAAACATTAGCTAATTATTGTCTGTCTTTTTCTCTAATTACTTTTAATTAATTTTTTTAATGACTTCCACAATGGTTGCTTGTTTAGTCCTTTTCTCCCTTTTGAAGCTGTAGCTCTCCTCATGTTATCAGAACTCCCTAGCTCCAGGCTGACATCCACAATGAAAATTGGCTTTTGTTACCATATCTTTGTGATAAGTTTGGGTTTAGTCGAGTTGGCATGAGGTGTTGTGAGCAGAGTTCAGCTTGTGGAACAGATGTAGAGGGGCTCTGAGAGCCCTGTGCTGCAGAGCTGTGGCACAGGGCCCTGATTTCCACTGCAATTCCCCTCTGAGGTTGCTAAGGGGAATTTGGTAATTCCTCTGTGTTTGGGAAGGGGAATTTGGTAATTCCTGTGTTTGGTAAGGGGAATTTGGTAATTCCTCTGAGTTTGGTAAGGATAATTTGGTAATTCCTGTGTTTGGTAAGGGTGGTTTACTGCCTGCCTGTTGCACATCTGAAACCTCTGTGGCCTAAAACCAAGCACCCCACTCTAAATACTGCTCAACAACTGAGGATTTAAATGTTCCAGCTCTTTAGCTCCCCAGCATTTCTCAGGCCAACAGAAAATTCAGAGAAATCCAGGTTTTGCAGGAAAAAGTAATTTTTTTTTTAATGACAACACTCAGCAGGTAACCCCAGAGCAAAAATCTCCATTTGGCCTTGGACACCCATCCATGGCTGATACAAAACCTGCAATCCCATCCCCAGAGGAAGCAGATTAGCACCCTAAGCCACCAGATAATTCCCATTGTGTATTATGTGCAACTGCACGAGCAAAATGTTTCGCTGCACATTATGCTCCATTATTTTGGAATACAATGGTTCCCTTGGCATTAGTGCCAAATGAATGGAGAGTTCATTTCGTCTGAAAGACTAAACAAACACACGCTGACAATGAGGATAAATCAGATTGCTGCAGCACTTTCAAGGAGCTGGTAAAAATAATATTTTAATCAAATAACTCAGCTGTAACTAGCATGAACTACTGGGAAGGTTAAGGCTGTGGCTCAGTGTTCTACTGAGAAAACACAGAATTATTCCAAACACGCCGTTCCATCGGGTTAAAAGCAGAGGATGCAAAGCAGTTTCCAGCCCTAACAGCAAACTGAAGCCACCAAAAAATGCCAGAACACACCAGGGCTTTTCAGAGCCTGCCATCTCCTGCTGTTCTGCACTTCCCAAATCTCAGCTCAAGGTCTAAGCCATTAAAGTCCTTCCAACACGGCTTTGAAAGGCTTTTTAATTTTAATAATGTTTGCTTCTTTTGCATTTCTTGACAAGATCCTGCCACTTGACGTATGTTGTTGAAAAGGTGCTTTTCACCTCCTGTGAATATGGGTACTTAGTCACACATTAACCTTATTGCAATTTAATTTTCACATTTGACTTTTCTTATTTTAGGTAAAACCTCACTTATTTCTGACTTCTGGGCAGAGTAATTCTAACCCTGGCCTGTGGGGAAAAATGAAAATAAACAAAGGGAAAGCATCAGCAGCACATCCTCATTATTGCGTTTATGTTAAGGGGCTCTGTTTTCCTCCCTCCCAACAGATGAAGCAACAAGATTTTATTTCAAATAAGTTTCTCTTGCTCAGTCCTTAATGGCTCGAAGTTAATGCCCTGAGGAATAATCTGACTTATTTTCTCTAATTTTCTACAGCAGAGCTGCTGCACAAATCCTTCCCATCAGCACAGCCAGATTCCCCAGTCTTGCCCTGGAAAGTGTGTGCTCCAGTTTGCTTTCTAAGCCTCCCAAGCACACAGGAGGGGTGCACCTGAGCCTCCTGTGCTTCTTGCACAGGAAATTGTGGTGCTCTGGGGCACTCCTGGCCTTGCCAGCAGTAGCTGGGAGGAGGCAAACTGCATTTCCAGGCACCACGAGGAGGGGGAGAACAGCATCTCTGTGAAGGGTCAGCTTCTGGAAGAGCATCACAGAAGTGCCAGCTTCATCTCCAGGCTTCCTTTTTTACATTTTACATTCCTTTTTTACATTTTTCTTTTTCTTTTTTCTTTTTTTCTGCCCATGATTCAATTTCTGTCTTCCCAGCAGTGTTCCCATGGGGGACACAGGAGTGGGATGTGTTTGCTCGC